TGTGTGTGTGTATGTGTGTGTGTGTGTTTGTGTGTGTGTATGTTTGTGTGCTCGCGTGCGTGCGTGCTCGCGATACGGCTGCAGAATCAGAAGAAACAACAAAGTGTTAAAGAAAAATTAAATGTGCCAGCAAAATAATACTTTTTTGCCTGCAATCTGTTTCAATAGATACAGAGTACGAGGCAGGTTCAGTAAAAGATGGATAGAGGGGATCAGAAAAACAAGACAAGAAGCAAATTTTTAATGATCATTTAAAGGCGATACAATAAACAAGAGAAATACGTTTGCTTTTCCCCCTCGACTTCGTAAGGTAACAGACGCCACAAAAAGTACTGTAAAGTTATAACGTGTACAAAGAACACTACACGCAAATTATTGAGCAATTTTGTCCCTTTTCCGAGTACCATGTTAATGGTCTTATTCGTATCAGACAATTACTGACTATGAGAATGTGAGTAAGTATAATGATGTCTCAACACTAGGATGGAACAATTAGAGAACGTGAATAACACTGATTAGATACATTTGTTCGTATTTGATTATTTAATTAATTTGTTTCTCTGGTTCTTGTCGGCTATTCTAGCATCTCCACCACCCCACCACCTCTTTCCACGACCATCACACAGACACACCGGCTGTCCTAAGGAATGGGACACGTACCCATTTCCCACTCTCCTCGCACACACATTTTGATCCTATGTGTGTGTGTCACCGACCCTGTCAATTAAAAAAAGGTTAGCGAAAAAATCATAGAGGGGCCACTTCTAATTGCTGACGTTGTTAACTTTTTTAACGTTTTAGAGCCTCCTGAATACCCGCCCCTTGCAAAGGTTGACGGGTATTTCGCTGTTCAAGACGAGGTTATTCCCATCAGTCGTACACAGGAGATCTTTGAGTTCGACTGCCAAGTGGAGGGAGGTGAACCCGCCGTTACCATGGTGACAGCTGCCTGTGGTTCAAGGTCGGAAAGTGAGCAAGGTCAAAAGGTGATCTTTCGTCTGGACACCTCCCAGGAACCGGACATCGTGAGGTGTAACTGCACGGGCGAGCATCCTAGCAGCTGTTACCACCAAGTGGTGCGTTTCACGCTGAACTTTACTGGTGAGTCGTCTGACTTCGTGTGATAGTTTAGTTTTAGTTTTAGTTAGTGTTTTACGGCACTGGCAACACAAAAAGGTCATATAAATGCCGAAGATTAGATGTGTTACAAGAGAGAAACAAACACAAAAAAAGAAGAAGGGACGATAAAGACGATATATGTTTGAAAGGAAAGAAGAAGCAGACCACACCAGAGCACCCGCTAACCACCCACCTTGTGCGATAAAATATGAGAAAATTGGGAGGATTTGAATAATATAAGTGAGTGAGGAAGAGGAGGGAATGGAAAGAGAGAGACAGGGGGGGGAAGAGAGGGAGAGAGGGGGAGAGAGGGGGAGAGAGATGAGAGAGAAGAGAGAAAGAGAGAGGGGGTAAGAGATTAGGAACAAAGAGCGAGACAGAGAGAGAGAGAAAGAAAGAAAAGGAGAGGAGGAGATGAGAGAGAAAGAGTGTGTGAGCGAGAGAGAGAGAGA